ATGTACAACGTTTCAACAAGGTTTTGTCATCATCAGGTGATGCTATGAGGGTCTGGGGGCAATGCACCCAAGAAACTTTGTAAACAATAGGTGCTATGATATTAAATCTGGAAACAATTTGCTTGAAACATAGCTTAAACAATTTTACATAAAATCCACAAACATCCAACGAAAAGTCAACAAATCATCATTCTGTTGTAACACTGCATAGTGAGCTTGACTTAAATTAGCATAAATATATATATGTTTTATTATAGCAAACAGCATGGTCAGTTGCAGGGGAAAGAACCAAGAGAAATATCCAAATCAATATGGTTAGTAAAATTAGCATGAATAAGGGTATCCCAAAGGAACTGATTACATCTTAAAGCAACAATAGATTTTTTGTTAAAAATATCGTTAGTGTCAGTATTAGTTCATAGACAATGTTTCAAGAACATTTATGTGGGGACTGTAACTAACTTTAAGGAAAAGTTTTTTGTAAGATAGGTTTAGAATGGCCACAAGAAGAAAAGAAGTCAGTAATTTATTCAGATTTTGAAATGATGTCATCATCAAATGTGACACATGAGCAAAAACTGTAATGGTTGGAATGCAAAGTGGTAGTTGTGGTGGGGGATGCATTTAAATACATTTCCAAAATACTTGTATCACCTTGATGTCTTTTCATCTTTGGGATTCTGTTGCTGCTTGAATTTATTCTCTGATCCAGAAAAAAACTGCAGCCAATAAGTTATTCTCTTACCTGCTTTTTTACTACTTGAGACCACACCTATGGTGTGTAGGGCAACCCATGTATTTCTGTAACACTCAACAGTCATATGGATGCTTGGTTATGTAAAGTCATTTGATTGAACACTAATTAAAAAAAAAGTACTCTTTCCTGTCTTATGATATTACACAGGCCTGCGAATTTAAACTTCATGAAAGTTGTTTGGGTTTTAATAATGGATTTTTCATAATTCAGCGATGCAGATTTCGAAAATAATATTAATTTTTTTTTATCACATAAGGATTCTTTACAAATAGGGAAGTAAAAAAACTCTTACTTAGATCAAATTATTATTTCATTTACCACAGTTAACATTTTTTATTATTATGTGTGTTTCTTGTGGGTTTTAGAATAATCAATAAGACTCTCGCATTGCAATTTGTCTAAAGAAATGGTTGTCAACATTTTAAGCTTAACAAAATGTGACCTAATTTTTTTGAAAATGATTCACTTATGTAAAAGTACATATGATGTTTTGTGAAAAACCTGTACATGATGGAGAAAAATGGATATCATTTTCAGATTCAGCATACAGGAATTACAGTAGAACATGTATAAATTTCAAGACAATGAAACCATCGCAGGCCTGTGTTATTTGTTTATACATTCACTACAGAATGGGTCTTTTGTAGATTATAATGTACTCCTGCACTTGCCCTCGTCACATGTGACAAATTTGCAATCTCTCCTTCTATCAGCATATTCTGCATTTATTTGAATTCATCTAGTTGAGATTCTCCTTAAACCTCTATATATATATATCCTAGACACAATTTGCCCCTCTGCACTGGTGTTTTATAATATATATAAACTGGAAGTAGACAGAAAATGCCGTTTGCTGGCTGATGAAGCCTCAGCATATACTTTTCTCACCTCTTCTTTCACATTCTTGTGTGTCATTATAGTATCTGAAGTGGGATGCCTGTACTTAATGAATATCACATAGTTATAACCAGGATGGGAAAAATACAATTGTTTTTTGTTATTTTTTATTTGTCTGGTATCCCCATCGCACTGTTTTTAAGTTTTTGAGCTCTATCCATAGGTATGTGCTCACTAATTTGGTCAGTTTTGTGACTCGCTGGTGTTTTCAGATGCATTTGAAAGGGACTAAAGCCATAGGAATATGTCAATTTATATAATTTTGGCTTGTCTGCTCCCCTGAAAACCTTCCACTTCAGGTACAGGATGCAGTATTTTGTTTATACCAATACCCGTGCTCCCATAGTTGTCTCTACAGGTACAAACAATACAGCCATTTTTTATAACTAAAAAGTATTGAGAGGGAAAATGTACCTGACTGAGAAGATTGTCTTCATTCTAATTGTCTTAGACCTAGTCTTTATATAATTCTGATCCACTCCATTCATTCTTCCTTGATTAATGTTAGTTGAACATTTATGGTTCTGGATTCTATCCAGATTTACTTGATTACATCTCTTTTTAATGAAGTCTAGTTATTATCTTTCTGCCTTGTAATATGTTTTTGTGTAATTGTAACTCTCTCTGATTTCCACCTCCTTATCAGTGTGGGTATTTTGGCTTTCAGTACTTCAGAGGTAAGTCTCTCCAATTTGAATTTATGGTTTTAGGATTAAAATGAATTTCAAACACGTATTTACATCTAGAATATATTGCTACCCACCTTCCCATAACTGGATCTTGTGTGGTTTTCTATTAGTTATTACAAATGAAACTAAGAAATCTAAATTATGGTAATAAAACAGTTTTCCTGATTCTTCCACAATAAGTTGGGTGGAAGTTGAGAGAGTAGAGAACTGTGGGTAAGATGGTGTATGGTCTGCATTATTTAAAGGACATTTGGAACTTTGAGTCACATGGTTGTTAACAGAACAAGAGCAACTCAACAAGGAAAGGCTTTCAGTATTTCAGAGTTAAGAACCTGTTTGAAATTCATTTTATTCCTAAAAATTTTTAATTTGTCTGTTTCATTTATCTTTGTTTTAAGTGTTATCTGATGTAGTAGGTCTGATTCCAGTTTACAGTAACATTGATTATAGGTGTGTTTTGTTTTCCTTTGTTGATTTTGTAACATTTTACTTATCACCAGTTTTGACAAACCTGTTCAAATCTTTTGGGTTTCTATTAATCTCTTGTCCATGTATTGCCAAACATTAACTAACTCCTCTACTCCAGTAGCTGATTTGACTAACTGTAGGAATCTCAATGTCTAACCACTTTGCCAAACAGCTTATAGAATGCATTTCTTGTTTTCTCATACTTAGGCTCATTAGAAAAAAAAAATTTTATCTGTAATATTTCCATTGATTTTGAGACTTGATGTATGTGAATATTTTCAGTTTTTTATGTTTTGTCTCTGTATTTTGAAAAGATCTTTTTTTTTTCTCTCAATTTGTAGTGTTTATATAGATGTATAGGAAACCCATTAGAAGTTTTGTCACCAGAAGTTACTTGGACTTCTCAGATAGACTTTATATATAGGCAAAATACCTTTTAGGATTTTTCTTAATATCCTTGTCCTCTAAAGTGACTTGGACTGATCAAACGTTTATGTTGCAACCTATGTTAACAGCTCATTGGTATATGGCTTGATACAACCTTTTTGCTCACAGAACCTCCATGAAGCAGATGTATAAAGTGATAGACTAAATAAGTGTACAAAGAACACAGCTTTAAGTCATGAAGACTTACTTAGTACTGTTCAAAGGTAGATCAAAAGTGTAAGTTACATCTAGCTTGTGGATTTAAATTTAATCTCAGCAGTTAATCTTGCCTTTTGAAACTTACTGGTAGTTAAGTTTCCAAAAATCTCCAACATTGAATCAAAATGATGATCACTTGTTTTGAGGCATGCATAAGAAATATAAACATAAACAAATGTGTGTTATAAATTATCTCTATTACACGCTAGATGTGTTGTAACCTACAGATGTGTATCCGAGTGATGATGCTGTTTGGCAGAGTGCCTAATAAAAATTTTTACTCTTTTCTATGGTACAAGTTTTATTGTGTAAGGAAAGTAAAGTAGTGAGAAATCGTAAATTAATAATGTAAGCTAAAATTATAAACAGTTTTTGTGATGTATTTTATTTTTCTTCTAAAATGGTTATGCAATTTATCTTGAACATATGTGTCGTGAGACTAATATAGAGCCTAGCATGGTTAGGGTGCTCGACTCACAATCTGAGGGTCATGGGTTTCGAATCCCCGTCCCACCAAACGTGTTTGCCATTTCAGCCGTGGAGGCATTATAACGTGATGGTCAATCCCATTATTTGTTGGTAAAAGAGTAGCCCAAGAGTTGGGTTTGGGTGGTGATAACTAGCTGCCTTGTCTCTAGTCTTTCACTGCTAAATTATGTGTCTAGTGCAGATAGCCCTTGTGTAGCTTTGTGCGACATTCAAAAACAAACAAAGACTAATAAAACATTTCTTGATTTAATATTGATTCATTTATTATTTTCAGGTGTTTTTACTGGTCTTAGAAGAATTGTGAAAATAGAAAGTTTGCTAGGACTGTACAAAGGTAATGGGGCTCAAATGATACGGATATTTCCATATGCTGCTATTCAGTTTTTGTCTTTTGAAATCTACAAAAAGGTGAGAAAATTATATTTATATTAAACATAGGTTTGTTAAAACATACAGTGTACTCTGTATTGAATGGAAGTTCATGTATAAGGACATTTGTGGATTTTTGTAGTACTTCATGTAAAAATTGAAGCTTTGAAAGTGTTTAAACTGTTGTCTGATGTTAAACTTTTGGTGTTGGTTGAAAGTGAAGAAAAATGTGCTGGCTATTGTCTCATAAGTCCAGACAATAATTTGCAGAAACTTTTTTTTCAGATATCCACATATTGATTCTCCTTAGTGATGATGATGTTAAAGTTACAGAAGTGTAAACAGTGTTACACCATTAAAATTACTCTATTTAATTTACAGTATTTCAACTTGTCAAATTGTTGAGGATGTCAGTAAAAGCTAATCAAAACTATTCAAATAATCCTTAGTCATTAATTGCTGGAGGCTAAACATTTCTACCATATTCGGTGTTGTCAATCCTAGTTACTGTATGAAATCTTGGGTATGTAATGGTGCCTTTTGCTCTTTCTCTCTCTCTCACAAAACTCCTAAGTTCATATTTATGTATTTTGGGGTATGTGAACCACAATAGAGTAATTAGGAATGATCACCTAAGGTAATAGCAAGAGTTGAAATAAGGATCTGAGCACTGATTTACAGGGGTCCATAACTATGGAAATTTATGGGATCTTCATCATAATTTAGGAGCCCAGATGAAATGTGATACTTGAAACTTAATTCTCTTGGAAATATAAATGAAATGAGCACTTGAAAATTTTACTTCTTTTCCACATATTTATTTCATTCACATTCATAACTATGACCAACTAATACTTTAAAAATTAGTAGAAACATACATCATATAAACAAGGTAATCGATCTTTGATCAAGTATGCATACAAAATCAACCTGCAGTTTTCTTTTGGTTTCATAAATTGCATATGATGGTGATATATTGCAAGTGATACAGTTTTTAGTAAGGTACAAGAGAGTTTGCAAACAGTGCTCTTTAACTTAAAATCAGTATAAGTATCATTCCCAGCTTTATAATCTAAAGTGAGTGTATTTGAAACCTTGGTTGTGAAGAGAGGAGTTCAACTTCAAAACAAATAAACAACTTGCCAGTCATTGAAAATAGAAATCAATGTGTTCGAAGGAAAACGAAGTTTGATTATAAACAAGATTACGACACTTATGATAAACAACATTGTTTATTGACAAAAAGGGGACATGTATAAACGTTTCGGAATTCTATCAGATTCCATCTTCAGTATCTAAAGCAGATTAAAATGAATTTACATCAGTCTTTATACATTTTCAAAGTACAGTTGCTAAATATAACGATAATTAAACAAATAAAACACTAAACAGTAATCATGGGGAAAACTACAGCAAGAAAACACAACGAAAAGAAAAAAAAAAAGAAATTAAATCAGTAATACGAACATATTAAAAAATGTATAATTTAAATGAAGACTGCATGTTGTTCAGAGTTGGAGAGTGCTGCTTGATGTTGAGGTGTTGACAAATTTCCGCTAAAAGTTCCGATTGCGAAGTTACTTACGTCATTTGATTGGTTTTTATTAATCCAAGAATATTCGAAATACGTTCTTGCTAATCGCCGGTATGCTTAAATTCTTCATACTTTTTTATCTTTCAACGTTTCTTTTGGTTTGTTTGTTTGTTTCGAAAAGTGTGTGAAAATTTATTGCTGCTTCTTTACCTCACTGAAAACAAAAATGAATCAGATAGTAAAACAAGGAGACAGTTATCTCGTGTATTACCATCGCTTTGGCGCTAAGTGACTCGTTGTTACTGAGAAACCTTCTTGAAAATAAATTATTTTACGGTCTAGCTAGGAAACAGCGGTATACAGTCAAAAGGTAACATCACCGACTGTCGGTGCAACCCATGGGTTGTTTTTCACCTAGTGCTCAACTGAAAGAAGGTTCGCCGATTTACATGTGCTAAAGATGAATCACAATGTTCACAATATAACTAAATCGTGCACCATTTGTAAATGATTGTTTGTTTGGTTTTAAATTTCGCGCAAAGCTACACGAGGGCTATCTGCGCTAGCCAGTGTAAGACAAGCTAGTCATCACCACCCACCGCCAACTCTGGGGCTACTCTTTTACCAACGAATAGTGGGCTGAATGGGCGAGCATGTTTGATGTGATACGGATTGGAACCCGCGACCCTGAGATTGCGAGTCGAGCGCCTTAACCACCTGGCTATGCCGGGCCTTGTAAATGATACTCAAACAATAACATTTACACAATTAGCTACGTTTATTAACCCTTAAGTTATATACTTTTTCTAACGTTCACTACCGGTGGGGTCCAAATATTGCATCATATTAGTGGATTTACAACATACAGTGAAATCATTCAACTGCCATGTTAGAAAAAAACAACAAACAAGCAGCAATTAGTGGGATTAATTGCACCATCGACGGTATTTTTAATTACTCTGTGACTCATCTTATTGAGAACAATATAACCAACACGTGACTCGCTAAGAACCCGGTACTGTCTTAGTGAGAATTTAATACACAGCAGCAATTAGTGGGATTAATTACACCATCGACGGTATTTTTAATTACTCTGTGACTCATCTTATTGAGAACAATATAACCAACACGTGACTCGCTAAGAACCCGGTACTGTCTTAGTGAGAATTTAATACACCGCAGCAATCACGGTTTGTAGAGCTACACCTGGCCACCCCTAACTTTGAATTGAAAGACCAGATGGAAGGCAGCTAATCAACAGCACCCATCGCCAACTGTTGGGATACTTTTGTTTGACCGAAAAGTAGGATTTGACCATCACACAGTCTCTAAAAGCGAACCCACGGCTTCAATGTACAGAGCACGTTTCTGCGCAAGGGGTTCTCAAACCCTGAATTCTTGGATTCACAGTCCT